AAACTCGGAACGCATCGTAGAAAGCCTCATGGAAGTCCCCAATCCCTCCGCCTCAGTCCTGCCACTTGCTGTCTCCGCGCATCATCGTCGTTCCGGGCCTGTGGTCGGATGTGGAGAGGGGATCTTCCACCCAACTTATTTTGGCGAGTATTCTTCCGATCTTGACATTGGTCAGCTACTTCCTGTCGTTCCTGTGATTTCCAGGAAGAACCAAAGCCCGCTGACATGCCGTTTGCAGAACACCGAGACCCTCAATCACAACGACCAATTCTCCGTTTCAAGCCGAACATCAGCCGCCATTTCATCTAGCCTGGGACGCACGTCACAAAGCAGTATGGAAGCCCTGGACCCACCTAGCTCTGCTGCGCCCACTACTGGTTCCAGTCCTGGTCAGTTCACACGCCCCCACCATCTAAGTCGTCCTGGCCCTGAGTCTAGTGCTGGGGACAGGGCTTTCCAAGCTGCCATCCACGGCAAGTACCCTTATTCTTTCGACGTTGCTCTGCCTGATGCTGCCTCCACTTCCAAATTGCAGCCCGCTGTTCCATGCGTCCCAGCATCTCAAATTCTGCTATACTACCAGAACGTCGGTGGCATGAACAGCTCACTCGCCGAATACCAGCTAGCATGCAGCGACGCATGCTACGACATATACGCCTTCTCGGAAACCTGGCTGAAAAACTACACTTTGTCAAAGCAGTTGTTTAACGATACATATTCCGTCTACCGTCAAGATCGATCAACCCTCAACAGCAACAAGACCTCCGGTGGTGGAGTCCTTCTGGCCATTCGCTCCTGCTTCGTATCTCGCTTACTGAAACCTCCTGAAGATTCGACGGTTGAGCATCTGTGGGTTGCATTTTCAACTCTAAGTGGTACAATCTATATCTGCGTGATATACGTTCCTCCCGACGGCGTTAACGACCACAACCTGATTGAGAAGCATGCACTTTCGCTGGATTGGATTGTCTCTCAAATTGATGCCAGGGACAGCATCGTCATCTTGGGCGATTTCAACCTTGGCACTGTATCGTGGCTTAGCGATGCTCACGGCTTCTTCTTTCCTGACAATTCCCGTTCATCGTTCAGACCGGCTTCTCTCTCCTTGCTTGACGCGTATTCAACCGCAAGGCTTCAGCAAGTGAATGGCGTTCTGAATGCAAACAACCGTTTGCTCGATCTGTGCTTTGTCGGGGAGGATTTGGGACAAAGCTGCTCTGTTACCCATGCTCCGGCACCGCTCGTCAAAAACTGCAGACATCATTCACCTCTACTGTTGACGCTTGCAATCGATCCTGAGAAACGCTTCCAAGACCACGCCGAAACCATCTTCTACAACTTTCACAAAGGAGACTTCGAGCGAATGAATAACTTTCTCGCTAATGTGGATTGGAATGCGACACTAGACTCCGGGGATGCGAATCTGGCTGCCTCGACCATGTGTGGTATCATATTCTACGCTATCGATCAGTTTGTGCCTAAAAAACTACGGTGTAAACCTGCCAAACCCGCCTGGTCGAACTCTGATCTTAAGCATCTGAAAAAGGTGAAAAGGGCTGCACTGAGGAAACACAGTAAATATCACACAGATTCTACGAAGGCTAATTACGTCCGCGCCAACAACGAGTACAGAGATCTCAATGCAAGCTTGTACAACGCACATCAGTCTCACTTGCAGAGTCGTCTCAAAGCTAATCCTAAGGAATTCTGGCGATATGTGAACGAGCAACGGAAAGAAACGGGATTGCCGTCCAATATGACTGATGACGTTACTGATACCAACTCCGTCGCAGATATCGCCAATATGTTTCGCACACAATTCAGCAGCGTTTTTTCAGACGAAGTTCTTGATGCTCAGGAAATTGCTGCTGCCACGAGTAATGTCTCTCGTACGTCGGTGTTTGGTTCTCCATTCACCATCCACAGCGACATGGTGATTTCAGCCGGGAAACAGATGAAAACATCAACAGGATCTGGTCCAGATGGCACTCCCTCATTAGTACTGAAACGTTGTTTAGACACTCTCTCAGAGCCGTTAGCTAAAGTCTTCAACTTGTCAATGACCTCCGGAGTTTTTCCAGAATGTTGGAAGGATTCGTTTGTTTTCCCTGTTCACAAAAAAGGATGCAAGCAGACTGTCGCCAATTACCGCGGAATAGCTGCATTGAGTGCTATCTTTAAACTATTCGAGCTAATTGTCCTGGAAAAGTTGGTTCAAGACTGCTCGTACAGTATTTCTCAGGATCAACACGGCTTCATGCCTAAGCGCTCGACGACGACTAATCTAACTGTTTTTACATCGTTCATTATTCGTGAGATTGAACGTGGCCATCAAGTTGACGCCATATACACCGACCTCTCTGCAGCTTTCGATAGAGTGAACCATGAAATTACCATCTCTAAATATGACAAAATGGGTGTTCATGGGAGTCTACTTACCTGGCTTCGCTCCTATCTGACTGGCAGATCTATGTCTGTTAAGATCGGTGACTACGCTTCTCCACCCTTCATTGTTACATCTGGTGTTCCTCAAGGCAGCCACCTGGGGCCATTGCTTTTCCTGTTGTATATGAACGACGTGAACTTGATCCTCAAATGCCTTAAACTCTCGTACGCCGACGACATGAAGCTCTACTACGTAATAAAAGGGCCTCAAGACGCTCATTTCCTCCACCAAGAAGTTGAAGTCTTTGTTGATTGGTGCCGGATAAACAGGATGTCTTTAAATGTGTCCAAGTGCTCGGTCATCTCCTTTGGCCGTAAACGGGCGATGCATTTCCACGATTACACCTTAAGAGGAATAAGCTTGAAACGCGAATCGACTGTCAAGGACTTGGGAGTCATGCTCGATTGCAAATTAACGTTCAAGGATCACATTGCCTAAAGCTTCATCGCAGCTAGGATTTTTTTTCCGTTTCGCCAAAAGCTTCAAGGACGTGTATTGCCTGAAGGCTTTATACTGTTCCCTGGTTCGACCTATACTGGAATACTCTGCCGTTGTTTGGTCGCCATTCTATCAGAATGCAATCCATAGAATTGAAGCTGTTCAGCGAAAATTTATTCGCTTTGCGTTGCGACACCTTCGTTGGTGCGACCCGCGTAACTTGCCGAGCTATGAAAGTCGCTGTAACCTCATCGACCTGGAGCTCTTGGAAGGAAGGCGTAATGTGGCGAAGGCTTGTTTCGTTGCGGATCTTCTGCAAGGGAACGTCGACTGCTCCACACTTCTCAGTCTTCTTGACATCAACACTCAACGACGGGACCTCCGGCTGCATGCGTTCTTCAACAACCGGCGTTCGAGGACCAACTATGGCGTACACGAACCAATGTTGAGTATGTGCCGCGTTTTCAATAGTTGTTATTATGTGTTCGATTTTAATGTGTCCCGCGAGAAAAATAAGCGTAGCTTTAAGAGATGTTTGCGTTAATTTTGTGTTTGAAGCAGTTTTGATGTTTAGATATAGAAAATTGTCATTAGGGTAACTATTTTATCTGTTGACAAGTAGAAATAAATAAATAAAATAAGCACAGAGGTTTCATCAACGTTGAAAATCCTGCTGGCACTGAATTTGCCTCCGTCCATCGAAGAAGTTGTCGACCGCTATCTTGTTGAATGCTTGCAACCTTGCAGCTGAGGTAGCCTCAGGAGTACGGAGCGAGAGTTTGGGATGACGCTTCCGAAAATCGTGAAGCCAATCCCAACCAGCCGGCTGTGTCTTCGTATTGAAAACATGTGCTTTCCGGTTGCGTTCGGCCAGCAGGAAAGTAAGGCTCCCGATGTCGCAGGTGGTAATTCCGTAGCATCGAACCTCAAAGTCCAAAATTTTGGCCATTAAAACAGCTTCCTCGGCAGGTATGAAAACTGTTTTGAATGAGCCGATTTGCTTCACCTCCTGGCCCAGAAGTTTTCAGATATCGGATCAGCGTAGGTCTTGGCTGCTCGTTTGATGGACGTTCCACTCCGGCGGACAGAATCTATGGCCGCTTCCATAGCCGTTTTGGACCACTGCTGCCTTCCAGATTGTCTTTTGTACGTTCGCACCATCCCTGCCACCAAAACACTGCATAGGTAAACAATGTAAACAAGTCAACAAAGTGGGCGTTGAGGTTAGATTCCAGAAACAAGTGGTGTTCATTTTGCCCCTTCTAGAGGTGTTCGTTTCGCCCCTAATGGACTATATTATGAAGTAATGAAGTAATTTGAATGCATTTTTTTTTTAAATAAATTATTGTAAAAACTAATATTGTGATTAATGTCAACTTTCAGCAGCGATACAAAGAACGTGTTTGGGACAAATAGGTAATTGATAATAAATATTCTGAAACGTTGGTAAAACCTTATTTTCCTATGGTTAGAAATTATAATATTTCAAACCCTTGGGTTATGATTTCTAATTTTTCATATATTTCGGTGGTTAAATGAGGATATCAACTGTTCTATTGAAAAATTATATGTTTGATAGTGGTAAAAATGATTAACAATTTACATTTCCGTTTAAATTTAAAAGATTTTGTTACTTTGAGGGTGTCCATTTCGCCCCGTGTGTTCATTATGCCCCTAGTCCCCCTTTTTTAATAAAATTGATGCCAGCTAAAGATCTGTGTTAAACAAATCTCAGCTCATTTGGCTCCTTGTTCATAGCAGTTTGAATCAAATGTGCTCAACAATGAAGACTTCCGTCCGATTCAATCAATCAAACCGAAAACTATACAGAAACGCCTTGGATATTTGATCAATTAGCTGTTAAGATTGATGCACTTCCAGCATAATCAATCCTCCTTAAAACTTTTTAGGAGAAAAACCAAAATGTTGACCTATTATTTAGTCATTTTTTTTTCAAAATTATAATTGTATTTGTTCATCACTTCATGCGAACTTTATGTTGTGGTACGAGTAATTATATTCGAATACATTCTAAGCCCCTTGATGTTTTTTCCTCAACTCATCTGAAGCTAATGTAACTAAAAAAAAACTCTCCCCTTTTGCTTGTATTCCACAGTTCCAACGTAACAGTTCACCTGGTGGCAGCTCCCCCATCCACCGAAGATGTACTCCACCAACAGCAACCGAACGCAGCCTGCGGCCACTGTTGAGAAGCGTTCAACCGACAAGCAGCCAAACTTCATCCAACGGTTCTACCTCTTCGGGACTAATCCAAACACTAGTTCCAGCAGTAGCTCAGATAGCTCCTGTAGCACACCATCGTCTCCAACGTCCCCGAGTCCACCTTCAACTTTGCTGAAGAAAGCGAAAAAGAAACCGTTAGACGACAGCGAAGACGACCTTCCGTACCATGCTCAATCACATCACTACAGCGTTCAACGGCTGAAGCAATTCTGGAACAATCGGCTCAGTCTAAGTTCACCCGGATCCGCCTCAACCAGCGAAACCACCCTCTCCAGAAAACTCAAAAGTGTCACTCTGGGACCATCGAACCCCTTGCGGAAACCAACAACTCCAGAATTCCTCCGACGGAACAGTTCCTCCCGTGGATCCGCGTCCCGTAGAAACATAGTCCGAAGCAGCCTAGTCCCACTGTACTCCAAAACTGCCAGTCCGAAAGCAGCTCGCTCACGCGAAGTGGATAATGAAAGTTCCGCCACCTCCAATCAGAAACGATCGAGCGTTGTTCTAAGTCCGGTTAAGGATTTGAAGAAGGAGAAACGGTCCTGCCTGGAACGGGTTGGATGCAATGCGGGATTCCCTCTGGTAACGGCAACGGCCAGCGGAGGAAGAATCAACTGGGCAAGGCGAGTTGAACTGCTTGGGATACGGTCTCAAAAAGAAGACCCGAAAATGCCGATCAAGGTGGAGAACTACGTGAACAACTTCATCGAGGTGGATATCCAAAATGAGCCGCCACCGCTACCGACTTCGGAACCGCCGGAACCTGCGATGGAAGAACAGCAGGACCCAGTAGTAATTCCTAACGAAAAGGTAGACACTCCTCAGCCAAAACAGGGCATGCGAGATTCACTGGACAGTAAGAAGAGTGTGAGCTCAAACGATTCACAGTCTATTGGTCGGCGGCATGGGACACCGACACGGAAGGTGAGCTTCCGAACGACGACCTCGCCTTACAACAGAAAACTGCTGCATGCCAAAGAGAACAAAGTAATGGCCCTGACGAACAAGTTCAACAAGATGTGTCAGCAGGATGCTGGGATCTTGGAGGAGGTTCGGAAACGAGGAGGATACTTTCACAAGTCCGGAAGTCACGTGTACAAGGTAATCGACGGAGAAGGCAGTGTGAGAAAGAAGTCTAGCGCCAGCAGCGGCACCCGAACGGACGAGAGTTCGGATGACGTTTCGGTGGGTAGCAAGGGTTCGTACAAAAGAGCCGGAGTAAAGAAACGGCCCAGTTTACGGAAGAATCTGTATCGCAAACCGGAATGTGAATCAGCGAACAGGACTTCGGTGTGCGTGAAGGAAGCACTGGAGATCTTCGAACCGAACAGTAATCATTACCAATCTGTATCTCCTCTAACGGACAAGAAACCTCCGGCTGGTAGGGCCAAACCCAAGGTCCCAGATAAAAGTGATCAAGTGATCAGGAAAACGAGGGAACTGAAGAATAAGCGAGCGATCCAAATCGATGCCAACAATTGTGATAGCAGTAACGGAGTAGTGGAGATAGAAGTAGACATGGTGCCAAATAGTATTAGCCAAGATAGTATAAGTAGTGAGAATCGAAATGAAATTGACGGTAATACTCATGTTGTCGAAGAAGAAGTAGCAAAATCGGAAGATGTTAAGGTTGAAATTGTGGAACCGGATAAGCCTGAACGGGTAGTTGATGAATATTCTGTGGTGAAGAAAAAGTCTGAGGTCGTGCAAGAAGAACTGGTGAAGCAGAAGAAAGACAAAAGGGACAAAGAGCCTGCCAAGATTTGCAAAGGAGAAGAACAGAATTCGCCTCCACCAAAGCAGAAAAGTGCCGTTCAAAGGATCTACGAGAAATTTGCATTCCGATCTGCGAAAAAGATCAACCTGAGCAGTTCGGTACGAACGTCCAGTGAATCGCAGTTGAACTCAAGTTTTGAAAGTGAAGATCGATTGCTGTTTGTTCCGGACAACAAGCTTACACGGAAGAACTTTGTCTCCTCGATCGAGATCCCTACGATCCACATTGAGGAGACGCAGGAAAGTAGCTCCGATCACTCAGATCGCAAAATCGTCGACGCTATCAAATCCCTCAATCTGAAGATCGACAACCTATCGAGAAGTTTCAATGATTTGACCATTAAAGATCCAGAACCGGAATCGGAGCCGGAGCCTGCCAAACAACCGAATAATTCCTTCCTGTTCCGAAGCATGACGAAGATCAGCACCGGAGCCGAAACGGCCATGAGTCATTTGGATATCGTTCAAGCCGTCAACACCGTCGTGATCAACAAGTCCATCTCCATGGATGATCACCACTTCCCCTGTCAAACGAACCTAGATCGCCTCAGTCTGAACGAAAAGATCCCTGTAGTTATGGTAAGTAAAGCGATCAGCGCGTCCGAAAACGACTACGAAATGGTGTCCAGGGTTGAGTCCCCACGAAGATCGGAAACCTCATCTGTTTCCTTTCATGGTAGCACCATGAGCATTGACCTCATGGAACTAACCGCCAACATCGACTCCTTCGTCTACAAAGCGAAGAACGCCGAGAGTTTCACCTACCAAACCACTACGGCTTCGGTCGACACGCCGACTGCCGGAAAAACGATTCAACCTGACACCGCCAGCCTAAACAGCTACGAATCCTTCGAAAACTACGAATCCATCGATCGAACCAGCAGTCGATCGAACCAGCAAGATGAAGACACCTACGAAATTTGCAACCCTCCGGAACCACTGCCACCGCGGAACGACACACAATCTCCGAACGATCTAGCCCTACCGCAACCGAAGCGCAATCTCGCCGGATCTCCAAAGTTCTTGCCGAAAAATCAACCAACCTACCAATCCAACTACGAGAAGATCAAGTATGACAAAACACCTCCACGCCCTCCAAAATCGGAGGAAATTCCACTACCGCCTCGCAACCCGGTCCCCATGGAGCTGTTGAATAATCATCGCGAAGCAGTTTCCACATCTCCGACCCTCTCCGAGGAACCGATCTACGAGGAAAACATCTACGATACGATCAAGAGTTCGGACGGTTTGGATTACGACGATCCGAATGGAAGTGCCGAAGCGGCGGTAATCAAGCGACCGAAGCATAACCTACCGGCCGATGCGGTTTCAATCATATCGTCCAATTGCTACGAATCGATCGGGTCGAAGTTGTTGGCCATGGACTACCTCAGGCATGGAGGAGCGACTTTGCCGCGGATGGGATCGATCTCGACACTGGCGTCGGATCAGATTACGAACAGCTTGTACGGGTGCAATACCAATGTAGGGCAGAGTTTGACTCCGCCCAGCGAGCGTGGAAGCGATACCAGTAACAGTGCCGAGTGGACGGACATTTCCGACGATGAGGACGAGGACGAGAGTCACGGAAGGAGCAATTTTATCATGTGAGTATTTATATCCCATTCTTTGGAGTATCAATTGGTAAAATGATTGGCTATTGTTTTTAGTGTGCGGAAGCGGAACAAGGTTCACCAAACGCCGGTCTGGTCCCGGAAGGTCCGCAACAAGCTGGCGTCACAGCAGCAGCAGCAATTGGAGCGGGGCCAGCCCAAACATGATGGTAAGTTTTGGATGCAAGCAAAGGATTTTACGGTTTTTTTTTAAATTTCGTTTTGAATTAATTTTTTTAATGGACATACACAGCAGAATAAAGTTTCATACGACGTGTTGTAGGCGGATCCGTAAGATCCCATGCTTATTCTATCCCTTATAATGGATCAGATCATACGAGCAGTTTAAAATGATATTTTCCACCACTCGAACTTTGCCGTGGAACAATATTTTCAAAATGTTTCTTCTAGAACCTCGAGAAAATAGTGTCTTATGTATGCCGAGTTGGAATAATTTGGAATTTATTTTCTAAATTTTTTGCTTAAAATCCCTGGTAAATAGAAGGTCGTCTTAATACTGCTCGACTACATGAATAATTATTGCCGTAAACCAGCTAACAGAATAGCTGGGTTTAATGAGAGATCGAAACAGATTCCAACCAAGGTGACTACATATAGGTGTTCTAATGTGTCAAATTCATGATTCAGCCATGTTGGATTTTTGTATGGGACAGCGACCGAATTTGTTCCAATTTGCTCTAAAACCGCACATCATGTTTTGAGCCAAATCGGACATTCACATTAGATTTTTTCCGAAGCTTTATTATTCTTATTAGATTAAATTTGAGAGTATTGCAATCGAACAGAAATTCAATCACCTTTATGTTCTCAATGATTAATTGTTCTTAGTTGGTTAATTAAAGGCACAAAGAAATGTGCAAAATATTGGGATGCAATCAATTATTATTTTGCCCGTAAGTCGAATCAAAAATAAAAGTCAAGTGAAAAGATAGCTTCTAGCAAGGGTTGCAAGATATTTTAGGTACAAATCCCTGCTGCCGAATTGTATTTTGTTGTCTCCGACCATCTCTCCCTCTGAGTATTTCTAGTTTACACTTATGCTATTTAACGAGTGCTAATGAGCCAGCTGCTAGGCTAAAAGCTCACCAGCATAATGTAAACAGCATGAGATTTCAGGAGCAACTGAAATTCGTACTAGTTGGATGGTACACTAGCGCTAGCAAATTCACACAGATGTAAACACCACATTAATGCGAGTAAGTTCTAGCAGGTCGGAGTCGGTCGAGGATTTCAGAGAAGAACAACAATTGGATTTTTTTTTAAACCAAAATAAAGAAAATTTCAAATAGAATCGAATAGGTGTTCATGGAGATAAGCAGTTCGACAGTTATTTTTGACAGAAAATATCGAGTAAGTCCGAGCAACTTCTAGCAAGTGCGAGCTGCCTCATCAAACACAGCTATGACGCAGCTAAGTGCATTTTCTCCACGTTGAGCTGCTCGCTTCAAAAGAACGTCATAGCAATCATCATGTGCTGTGCTGTATGTATGTGTGATGGTTGCGATTATTAAAAAATTGCTCTCATATCCACGGCAGTCTGAGGTCCGTTATGCGAACAGCCGCGTATGAACTGCTGCGTCTGCTTCGGAGAAGGAACAATCTGCGGCTATCAACAACAATCAAGACCTCTTACGCGAGTGATTCATAACGATATGTATGATGAAGATCGTTTGATGATTGATTAGACGTTGTTGTTGTTGTTCATTGTACATCGCATGCAAATTAATCCCGTAATCATATTGGCTTGTGGCAGAAATTATAAGATCTTTCTCCCATGGCACTGATTGTTGAAATTGATAGATCCCCTTGAGCAAGCGCAAGTTCTGCGCTTACGGTGTATCTTCATGTAATAGACAAATGCTGGCAGCAACATTGAGAGTGTATTCTTGCAGAACGTGAACAGAACAGAACGCGTTATGATCAGCATGGTCAGTTAATTCACTCCATGGTTCTTGAAAAGGAGCGGTACTGAGGTGCCGTTAGGACTCGTGGCTGGAGAATGTTTAGAGTAACAAAAGCCGATCAATGGTTATTAACAATCGTAACCGATTATCACATATGCTCGCATAATTGCGGATATTATTATGATTTAATGAGGCAATAATTTGAAGTGAATAGATATAAATGAAATTCCTTGGTGGTACACAGAATATAACGTTTCATCAATTGATTGACCAATTGGTCAATTTGGACATCGTTCGATTGTTGTTGAAATGATCATCGTCGGACTAGTTTTGGACGTTGAACTCACGCGTTAACATTACTTTTACTTTTTGGGGTGATAATCCGTGGAATCTCCCTTGTACGGAAACTTATTCTCCTTGGATTCCCTTCCCTTCCCTTGGACCGTAAACAACCGAATGTCCTCTCCAACTACAAAAACCTAATGTATGTGTCAATTGGGTTCTTTAATTTTAAAAATGGAGCGGTTTTTCATCATCATCTGACAGAGCTTCGTTTTTTGAGTATAGCGATATTTTTTTTTTTCGAAAACAAACACTTTCATCTCGATTTTTAAATCAATATTTAAAGCAAAATAATAACGTCACTGTTTGACACTAAGCTAACAGACTGACAGCTCGTTTCCATGCAAAGTGCCGCCGAGGGGCCCTAAGGTGGTAATTTTTGCAAATGTAATCGTACTTATTGAAAATAGTTCCAGTGTACCAAAATTAATGAAATTTAGGATTTGGGTTCTATTTTTAATGCAGATTACGAATATGCATTTGCAATGATAGGAAAACTACATTCAAAAACTTACGTTACACTCCCCGCATGTTCCGAACTTATTTTGTAAGACCTTCCATAGTTAATCTGTCCACTTCGTCACCGCGTGTTTTCAACTACTGTATTCATTCAGTGTTCTTTATACATATATTGAGTGTTGTGTACCTTAAGCTTTTTTTAAACAATTTTATTGGAGAATATCAAAATGTATTTATTTATGAAAAAATGCCTATGTCTGATAAATGGAAATTTTAAGGATGTGTTTTTGCGTCACGAATTATTTTGCAAAGACATATCACGAAGTGATGTATCTTTGTTCGGTACTGTACATGTAAATATCTCCGATGCTTCAAAGCTAAATAGAAGAAACATGGCAATCTCGTACCATACGATTCGTTATTTTGTTATTGGTTGGCCGTTGGAAGCATCTAGGTCCAAAAAGGTTAAAGTGAGCCTCCATTTTCCAGTCGGGTCGGGATATGACTACTAACTCTAAAGCATGAATCATTTAGAAATGGAACAATAGTCATTGCTTGAATATTTCGGATTAAGATTAACAAATGAAAGAGCTGCTCCGAATCAAATGATGGATTTTATATGTATTTCAACGGGATATTTCCTGATCTAATAGATGGTTGGCCAAGTGTCAACTGAGTCCAAAAAGCAAATTTTCGGATTGTGTACATTCAATTACATTCAACCAACGTAATTTCTGTAATAAATCAATTGCACTTCACCAATGTCGAAGGTATATAGCATCTGTAAAGTGCTAACAGTACTGATCAGTGATGACAACATTCCAGTTTAAACTGTATTCTTCCAGTCTTTTAGGACGCATCCTGTCAAACAGTTAAAGTTTAAAATCTTCCAGTATTCTGAGAATGAATCCAATTTCAACCAGTTTTTCATAATTAATAGCAAATTATTTTGAAATATGGTTACCATTACAAAATGATAAAGATGCTTACACTGTAAACTTTTAAATTGGAATTAAAATCTGAAAATGCAATAATTATTAACAATCATAATACCATACCTGAAAATGTGTGGCGATGCTGCAGACAAGCTCGCTTCACGGTAACCGGACAGGCGTGCTGAGTCACATCATCGAGACGCATTTTGCAGGTTTGTTATTAGGACAGCTTCCATAATTTTATGTCAAAGTTAACCAAAGTGATGTTGAGTACTTGTAACAAAACAAACGTTTTAGAACAATGGAACCATCTCACATGCTAATTCTGTATCTCTATTGTTTTTCTAACAAAATTATTTGAAATTCTCTGGGCTTCTTATGCATTCGTCATCTTCTTGTGGATTCAATGAAATTGAAGTAAGATTTTAGCGGGTGCTTAAATATTATAGCTGGTGCTATTCAATTTGCTAACTAAAATTAGGCTAAGAGTTTTCCAACCTTTTTACAGCACTTTTACGGAAAATGGTTCATAAGAACATGTTTAGAAGAAAGCGGTCAAAGTGGAATCCTAGAATTAAACGAATTAAATCTCAGACACAGTGATGGAAAAGTTCGCAAAAAATCACTATGACTCGCGACCTTTTCCCTTGGAGAAGTTCGTGAAATATCGCGAACTTTTCCAACAGTGCCAGACATTTGATTAATTTCAAGTTCGCAATCTTTCAAAGTTCAGCATTTCATGTTCTTGCTAGTTTTGGATCTTTAAAAATTCACATGTTCCCTAAAAGTAATAAGTATATTTAGTCCAATGTGACGTACGACTGATCCGGTTCGGAAGTCATTGTTAACTACTTTGGAGGATTTCATTTCATTGTAATAGCTTCTTGTAACCGATAATGAACAATCGTCGGTCGCAGCTTGTTGTGATTTAAGGGGCACGGTGGCGTTAGAGCGACCGTTTTTGCTTACTGAGCAGAAGATCGTGGGTAAGAATCCAAACTCCTTTACCTTACTGAGTTGATAGGGTCGCGTCATTTGCTTAGCAGCCTTTAAAAGATTGCATCACTTCCCAATGTGAATACAGATCTAATTTACCCTTCCCACTAACAAAAACGTCCTTCGCGTGACCACGTTTCTATAGCCTTTTTCTCTCATATGCAGTATTGGTTTGTTTACAATCTTTTGCTGTCAGCTTCTCTAACAATTTCAGTCGAAATAATTGTCAAAACCAGTTTTGAAACGCTTTTACAAAGCTCCAAACTTCTCCAGTGAGAGTGACTATTGTGGGTAACACCTTTTTATTCGGCAACCTTTCTATTTGAGCTGCGTGTTAAACAGCTGTGCTTTCATCGGCAACTTGAAATCAGCAGCATTTTGGAGTGCGTGTGTTTCATTTCAAGAAAACCCTGAAAGATTTCTCAGTGGTAAAAATATAATCAAATTGAAGCAGAAAACCTAAACAAGCTTTTGAATGCATTCAGGGAAGTGTTTACGTGAGAAAATCCAATG